GCTGTGCTTGCGGAGGCAGGTGAGGCTAAAGAAGTACCAGCAAAAATAATAAGCGTAGATGCTATGGTGGTAGAATATGAGAAAGGGAAGGTAGAAGACTACATGGGAGTGTTAAAAGCCTCAGAACAACATGAGGTGGTGGTATACGAAGACAGAGGTGAAAACCTCAGTTTTATGAAACCACTCAGACCCAACGAACCTTCATGCTCGTACCCTACTAACAGCAGGGAATATCCCATAGTAAGCCCAGAAGAAGTATTAAGCGGATCCGAACGCTTGCAACAAAAAATGGACGCCGAAAGGAGAAAAGTTAAGCGGCCACGAATAATCCCAGCCGAAACAATAGACAAAGTAGCAGCAGTCGCTAGCACCTTCGGTCAAGTCATCGCTGCAATCCCCGCAGTAATCCCGAAGAAAAGAGAATATCTGAGGTCAACAGAGAAAATGGTAGCCGCTGTCAAGAGCGTTGCAAAGCACTTCCCCAAAGGTCAAACAAGAAAATCCCTATGCACATGGACGAAAGCAGACATGGGACAAGTCACTCTGCCGAGCCTCAGGGAGGCATCGGAGCCCCAGGACCACTGGATAAATGCATTCCTAGAGTTTAAAGCTATCGTAAAAGCTACCAGAGAGGTTAATATCATAACCTGCAAGACCATCTTGGAAACCTTTCACCGAGGTTGTGAAGATCAGCTTGTGGTGAAGCTCGAGGAATCCGAAGCCGCAGTGTACAACAACGACACAGCTGAAGTAATTAAAGGGAGTGCGTCGGGATTGTACATGGCGGCATACAACGCAACAAGTGGTTTTGTGGCTTTGGACAGAACTGAGACAAAGCGGTTGGGTCAACTTGTCTTTCGAACACCTCCTCACGACCCCATAGTGGTAACAGCAAACTGTACGAGGGTTATGCTTGAGGACAAGATCCTGGACAGGCTTAAGGCTGTGTCCATAACCTTGGAGGAAGGCGGCACTCTTGGGCATTGGCAGTTACCAAAAATAACATGGGTCAATGGCGTACCCGGATGTGGAAAAACATCTTGGGTTATTAATAGTTTTGAGGCGGAAAAAGATATCATAATAACAACAACAACTGTAGCTGCTAGCGACCTGAGGAACAGGCTAGCATCACGTGTAGGAGCCGACGCAGCAAGGAAGGTGCGGACAATGGCCTCAATCTTGGTAAATGGCATAACGGCGTCTGAGAAATACACCCGTCTCTTAATTGACGAAGCGCTTATGAACCATTTTGGGGCCATAGTAATGGCAGTACAAATCACGGGTGCAAGTGAAATTCTTCTTATAGGCGACAACAACCAGCTGCCGTATATCGACCGGCACGATCTGTTTCGACTTCACTATACTCGTCCAAATCTAGTGGCTAATATCAACCACGAATGGCTCTGCACGCACAGAAACCCATTGGATGTAGCGTATGCACTAAATGAGATCTACGAGGGCATTTACTCATCCAATACTAGGCTGCGATCCCTGGAGCTGAAGAGGTACACGGGTTCACAGATTCCAAAGTCCCTTGAAAATACGTTATATCTGGGACACACCCAGGCTGAAAAGGAAAGTCTCATCAGCCAGGGCTACGGAAAAGGGAAGGGTTCGCGAACTCTTACCATACATGAAGCTCAGGGCCTCGTGAGCGAGACGGTGGTAATTGTGCGATCAACCAGAGAGAAACAACGCCTATACAACAGTATTCCCCATGCAGTGGTGGCAATCTCACGTCATACGAGCCATTGTACCTACTTTACAGATTGGTGTGAGGAAGATGCAGTTGCCCGTTTTATTTTACGCGCCGAGTCTGCCACCACAAGCAGAATTAGGGATTATAACATCAAAACGGCAATACATCATCGAGACTTAAAGGTTGCGAACAACATTATGAACGTGGTCCGAGACGAAGTGGCGTAAACGACATTCAAACGATAATATTAAAGTGCTAAAGGACGTTAAAGTGACATGTTCGCAACAATGTTTCGTTTTTATTAATTATTTAAAAATAAGGCTGTTTGTGAATTGTAATAGTATTATATAAATTAGTATATATATATATATATGTATAGATTAAGATTTTAAATAAATAGTTAAGAAAAAAGAATCAAAAAAAAACAGGAAAAAAAAAAGAAAAAAAAAAGAAAAAAAAAGAAAAAAGAAAAAAAAAGAAACAAAAAAGAAAACAAAAAAACAACCTTAAAAAAAGAGGAAAAAAAAAAAGAAAAAGAAAAACGAACAAAAAAAAGACTATATTATGTTAAATGTTTCGAATAAAAAAAAAAATTACTTACTAATTAGATGTAAGGCACGATACATGTTCGCAACAATGTTTTGTTTTACTTTAATTATTTTAAAAATAAGGCTGTTTTGTGAATTGAAGTTATTAAATTAGTATATATATGCATAGATTAAGATTTTAAATACATAGTTAAGACAAAAAAAGAGAAAAAAAATCAAAAAAAAAAAGAAGAAAAAAGAGAAAAAAAGCAAAAAAAAAAGGCAAAAAAAAAACAAAAAAAAAAGTGGAAAAAAAAGAAAAAGAAAAACAAACAAAAAAAGACTATTATGTTAAATGTTTCAAATAAAAAAAAATTACTTACTTGTTAGATGTAAGGCACGATATAATACTTAAATTGTAAAAGAAAACGTGCATTTAAATATACGCGGAGAGATGTAATTGTTTATAAATTCAGTATGTAATATAATAATAATTCAAAAATGTAACAAAGGGTACGGACCGCGAGTCTGTAGAGTAAACGATTAATACAAAAAAAAAAAAAAAAAAACCTAACCTAACCTAACCTAACCTAACCTAACCTAACCTAACCTAACCTAACCTAACCTAACCTAACCTAACCTAACCTAACCTAACCTAACCTAACCTAACCTAACCTAACCTAACCTAACCTAACCCAGTATAACTCGACATCTCAACATTGTAACATCTGCTCCGCAAAAAAAAATACAGTAAAATTAGTAAAAGTACCGGAAAGTGAACAAAAGTTATAAGTATTAAAAGTGCTTAGTGCAATTCACCTGTGAAATTGAAATCAACTCTCCACACAACCAGGTTCCGGAGCTATAAGCCACCAAATTTGGGCCCCTCCCCAGTGGCAGTCAAATAAGGTACGCATTTTGGAATAAAGTATTTGCGTAGCTCGTCACAAGATCTATTTAACTGCGAAAAAATCAACAAAATCGTGCAAAAAGTAAAGAAGTTATAAGCAATTGAATTTTAACAAAACCACGTGCTAAATAACCTACAACCACGTGTTTGCTACCACGTGGTCGTACGAGGTAAAGACAATATTAATAGGGCTCCAAAATCAACTCGAAGACAGCCCGGGTGCTTCGGACCAGAAAAAAAAAAATACATCACTACCATCTTCAAGCACCTGACAGCGTGTTCAATTTGAAATAAGTATACCAGTGACGTCACATTTCACATTAACCATTTGACGGGATCCAATTCACCCCCCCCCCATACCACCTAATCTCAAGTCACCTTCTGTGAACGACACACGAAACGTCGGTACCCCCCCCCCCCCCCGCGTCCACGCACCCCCCCTCAACAAAATACCCCTCTGCCTGTAACTACTGAACGGGACATCGTAGAGCAACGTGCGACGGCTCATTGAAATCAGGGGAAAATTCTCTATAATTTGGCTCTGTCAGATTTTCCTAATCAACCCCCCCCCCCCCCCCACCCCCCACCCACCATCTCAAGTTACCTTCTTTCAAAGATACACGAAACGTAGGTTCACCCCCCCCTGAAGCACATACCCCCCCCCCAGCAAATTACCCCTCTGCCTTTAACTCCTGAACGGGACATCGTAGAGCAACGTGCGACGGCTCATTGAAATCAGGGGAAAATTCTCTATAGTTTGGCTCTGTCAGATTTTCCTACTCAACCCCCCCCCCCCCCCCCCCCCACCCCCCATCTCAAGCTACCTTCTTTCAACGACACACGACACGTGTCCCCCCTGAAGCACATACCCCCCCCAGCAAATTACCCCTCTGCCTTTAACTCCTGAACGGGACATCATAGAGTAACGCGCGACGGCTCATTGAAATCAGGAGAAAATTATTTACAATTTGGCTTAGTCCCATTTTCTCAAATACAATCCCGTAACTGCCCCCTCGTCACCCCTCCTCCACTGAAAACGGAAGTACCGAAAACTGAAGATTCATCAGGGTCCTAGCACATCAAACATCAGCAGCATTAGCAGCAGTAGTATAAATTTATATAAGTATAGTTTTTAAAAAAAAAAAATTATAAATAATAAAAAAAAAAATAAACAAAAATTGCATTAAAATATATTAGAAGAACACAGTAGGCAACAGCGACCATGTCACAATTAAACAAAAATCAAAGAGCTCAGGCACTGGCGGAGGAAGGTACCACAGGAACAGTGCCGGCCACTACCAGTGCCACTTCGTCTCGCCCACCTTCCTCACAAAAATCCACACAATCTCTAAGAAGAAAAGTATTCGCCAAAGTCTCAATGGTTAGATCTTCTGTAAGCGAAGATTCAGATGTTTCTCTCACAGGCGTCGAAAAACCTTCAGCGATAGATGAAAAGATCGCTGCCTGGCCTCAGGTTGAGATCCCCCCTCGTCCAATCATCTCAGACGAGGACTCATCAGCATCAGAATCCTTTACGTCCGAACCAAAACGTCTAAGCATAATACGAACAACGGCGAGGCGTGGAGGAGTCGAAATGGACTTGGCTACTAAACTGGCCAACGAGATGCTACAGAAGGGCAAGGAGGCCCTAGAGACGGCAGGAAATATGAAAAGGGAGTGCAAAACAACGGCGCTCGAATGCCTTCAGAGTCTATACGAGACGGTACTTGCTCTCTCGGACTCTAGATCTAGGCACAAGTACAATTTGGAGAAGGAAAAATCTAGGCATGCCCAAGAACTTATCAGAATGGAGCGAGCCCACACAAAAAAAATAGCAGAAATAACAGCTAACTTCTCCACGGAAATGGGAAACGCCCGAAATGACATCTCAGAAGCCAAGGACATAGCTAAGTCAATCCGTGAATGGCTGGGGTACGAGACCAGAGAGCCTCACAGAATCATTGGAGAAATAGGAAATGCTATGAAGGCCTTGGACAAAAAATTGCAGGATCTTGCCGACAGCTGCACCAGTGAAACAATTAAAACATCGGAAAAGAGAGGACCGACACCGACACTGGAGGAACGACAAAACCTCCTAACGACTATAGAAACTCTCTCAAGGCAGCTAGACGAACAACGGCGAGAACTCAAAGACATCAAAGATCAAACAACGCTCGTCCAAAACAGTAGTGCAAAAGCCATTGAAATCTTAACCACACAGTATCCGTCCCAATACGAAAGCAACGACAAGCAACAATGGGATGTTATGAAGACTGATATTTTGCAGGAAATTAAAAATATAAAATACACACAAATGCAAGAAACAGCTGACAGCACCCCCAGTCCCTTAACAATAAACTTTAGTGAACATCTACAGCCCATCACCGAACGTCTCGAAGTAGTTTCGTCGGAACTAAAAACCATACGTGAGCTTCGGCAGAAAACGCCACCACCGGCGATAAGCCTTAGTGCGGAGCTTGCGTTGGCAGAAATGGCCAAGACCACCAAGTCAATTCCGACGTATGCTCAAAAAGTGAAAGAGAAGCCTGTACTGAGGCCCAACCACACCCTGATCGTTTCGTCGACGGACCCAAACAAAACAGGCGAGAATGTCATTGAAACTATCAGGGAAGTACTTGATATTAAGAAGACTGGCGCAAGAGTGGAAAAGATAAGGAAGGCAAGGAACAGGAAGGTTGTTTTAAGCTGTGGCACTAAAGAAGATCTGGACTTGATAAGAAGTCAGGTTAAGAAGAATGAAACACTCAAGGCAGAGACTCCCAAAATGTGTAATCCACTTATAAGAATAAAAGACGTGTTGTCATACCATACTGATGCCGAGATCGTGGAACAGCTGCGAGCACAGAATAAGCATCTGTTCCAGGACCTCAAGGCAACTGAAAACGTAATGAGGATTCGGTACAGGAAAAGGGCGAGAAACCCGCACGAATGTCACCCAGTCATAGAGCTATCTCCAACACTGCACCGGCGTTTCTTAGAAGCCGAAAAAATCTATATAGGCTTACAAAGAAGACCGGTGGAAGACCAATCCCCCTTGGTGCAATGCACGAAATGTCTGGGCTTCGGTCACACCAAAAACGTCTGCCAGGAAAAAGACAATCTCTGCAGCTACTGTGGAGAAAACCACTCCTGGGAAAAATGCTCAAATAGATTAGAGGGAAAGGCTCCTAACTGCAAGAATTGCTCGAGGGCACATGTCACAAGCCCAGTACCCCCTCACAATGCATTTAGCAATGAGTGTCCCGAGAGGCAAAAATGGGATGGCATAGCGCGATCACGTATCTCGTATTGCTAAGGGCCACCAAGATGACGGAAGCTCAAATTTCCTAAAGACAGGCACCCACAGTGTGCACATCATCCAAGCAAACCTACAGCGATCAAAACTAGCGACAACAGAATTAATACAAGGAGCAAAGGAAAGGGGAGTTTCAATAGCCCTCGTACAAGAACCATATGTGGGCAGAAGTGGTGAAATGAAGCTGATCCCCGGCACAAAAATCATCCAGTGCACCCTTAATCGCCTAAAACCCGTGAAAGCGGCAATTATCATCTTCGATGACAAATTGCGGGTCATACACGACCCGCAATTGGTGACCGAAACTGAAGTGGCGGTGCTCCTGTGGGCAGGAAAGCTGAGGTTGGGATTGGTGTCTGTCTACTACGAAGGAGACCAAGACATAGAGCCCTATTTGGTACGCACAAAGGTAGCTTGCCAGAAACTCCAAACCGAAAACCTTCTGGTCGGTGGGGATGTCAATGCCTGGAGCCACTGGTGGGGAAGCAGTCATGAAGACCAAAGAGGTGCAGCTTACAACGCCTTCCTAAACGAAATGGAACTGCACATTCTCAACACCGGAGACACACCAACATTCGAGACATATAGGCGAAACAAAAAATACACAAGCGTTGTTGATGTCACAGCTTGTAGCTTGTCACTGCTAGGCAAAATAGACGACTGGAGAGTCGATCGGAGTCTAACAACATCAGACCATAATGCAATCACTTTTGCTCTGCGCTTGGATGAGCAACTAACACCACTCGAGTCTAATACCACGCGCAAATACAACACCAAAAAGGCAAACTGGGAGGAATTTAAAACGATCTTAAAAATCTCCCTAGCAGAAAAAAATATAACACCTGAAACCATGGACCAGATTTTCACCCAAGAGGATCTGGAAACCAAAATTACTGTCTATACAGAAGCCATCTTGGATGCTTGTGATAAATCTATTCCAAAAATTGGCATATGGAAGACTAATAGTAGGCCTCCTTGGTGGTCCAAAACTCTAGAAAACCTAAAAAGGGATGTCCTGCGAAAGAAGAGGCGAATCAGAAATGCCGCCCCCATCAGAATGGCATCAGTTATAAATGAATATTGTAAAGCTAAACAAGAATATGTGGAAAAGACCATTGAAGCACAAACAAGTAGCTGGAAAGAGTTCTGCTCGACACAAGAAAAGGAAAGCCTGTGGGATGGAATATATAGAGTAATAAGAAAAACTGCCAGAAGACAAGAAGATATGCTACTCAGAAGTGTCGAAGGCGACACCCTAAATCCGGAGGAATCGGCAAAACTTTTGGCAAGCACCTTTTATCCAGAAGACTCTATTGCAACTGACAAATCCTACCACATGCAAATCCGAAGACTGGTTCAAGACAAAAGACCGGAGGACATAGAAGACCTCTCTGATGATGATCCACCCTTCACACCGGCCGAACTGGAGACAGTGCTGAAAGCATTGAACCCAAAAAAAGCTCCGGGTCAAGATGGCTTAACTTCAGACATTTGTACTGTAGCCATTCAAAGCGAAAAGGAGGTATTCTTGGCGTTGGCAAATAAATGTCTATCGTTAGCATACTTTCCCAAGCAATGGAAAAAAGCACACGTCATAATTCTCCGTAAACCTGGAAAAGAGGACTACACTCACCCAAAGTCCTACAGGCCCATAGGCCTACTACCAGTCCTGGGGAAAATAGTCGAAAAACTTATGGCGGGTCGCTTGCAATGGTACACCATACCCATGTTAAATCCGAACCAATATGGCTTCATGCCACAGCGCGGAACCGAAGATGCCCTCTACGACTTAATGGACCATGTAAGATCAGAACTCCACAACAAAAAGATGGTGCTTATCATCTCTTTGGATATAGAGGGAGCCTTCGACAACGCATGGTGGCCAGCACTCAAGCACCAGCTCATAAAAAAGAGGTGCCCAAGAAATATCTACGCAATGATAAACTCGTACCTTAGTGACCGTAAGATCGTGGTAAACTATGCCAGAACAACAAGCGAGAGGAACACCACAAAAGGTTGTGTGCAAGGGTCTATCGGAGGACCAACCTTTTGGAACATCATTTTAGATCCCTTGTTGCAAAAACTAACAGATGAAGGAGTATATTGCCAGGCATTTGCAGACGACGGAGTCCTAGTATTCTCCGACCACACGGTCAATACCATGGAGGAATCAGCCAACGCAATTCTGCAGAAAGTAGTCAAATGGGGAGAGGAAAACAAATTAACTTTCGCAGCACACAAGACTAACGCGATGCTTCTGACAAAGAAACTTAAATTCAATCTCCCAAAACTCTACATGTCAGGAAATATACTGCAACTGGTTGATCAGATAAAACTCCTGGGAATTATAATAGACCGGAAACTCACATTCAAACCACATGTGACCGCCGTCTGTAAAAAAGCTGCGGAAATTTATAAACAGCTAGCGTGCGCCGCAAAAGTAACATGGGGCTTAAATGGAGAAATAACAAGGACAATATATGTCGCGGTCATAGAGCCGATTGTGTTGTACGCTTCAAGCGTATGGGCTCCAGTGACAGAGTTGCAAATGATTCGCGATCAACTGGACAGTCTTCAAAGAGGATTTGCACAAAAAATCTGCAGAGCGTACCGCACAGTATCGCTCACGGCGTCTCTGGTACTCTCTGGTCTATTACCATTGGACCTGAGAGTCCAGGAAGCTGCAAGTTTGTACAAAGCAAAAAAAGGTATCTCAACAGACTATTTACCACCTGGAAGGAGACTGGAGAAGAGAGTGAGCTATTTGGATCATCCACACCCCTCGAAACTCATAACAACAGAGTACGAGCTCCTAGAGGGCGCGGATCTCGAATCTTTAGACTCCCGCCGGATTACTGGCCCCCAAATTTATACAGACGGCAGTAAGATAGAGGGAAAAGTTGGAGCTGCTCTAACTTGGTGGGAGGAAGGTAATGAAATCCATTACTCGACTTTCAGCTTAGCCCCTTCGTGCACCGTGTTTCAATCAGAACTATATGCACTTTACAGGGCGGTTCAATTGGCAAAAAATAGCAGGGAAAAATCCGTAAACATTATGAGCGATTCTAGGTCCTCACTCGACCTGTTGGAAAACCCTAAACTTATCCATCCTCTGACGAAGCATATAAAAGAGTGCATAGAAGACATCCGGTCACAGGGGAGACGAGTGCGGTTTTTCTGGCTACGAGCGCACGTGGGGACTGCCGGAAACGAACGCGCTGATGAGCTAGCGAAAACCGCGGCCCAACAAGCAACAACTGTCCCAGACTATGCAGAAGTCCCGTTGTCTTATGTCAAAAGAAAGATCAGAGAAGAGTCTGTACGGAAATGGCAGGATAGGTACAACGCCTCCAGTACAGGGCAAGTCACCAAAACGTTTTTCCCCGATGTAGACAAAGCTTACCGCATCGTGAGGAAAGCAAAACTGACACACTATCAAGTGCAAATCATTACAGGACACGGCGGAATAGCTGAGTACTTACATCGGTTCAAGTTGAAAAACAGTCCCGGCTGTGAGTGCAACCCAAATATCAGTGAGTCTGTGTGGCACATCATCCTGGACTGCCCACGATTCCAGATGGCCAGAATGGACCTTGAATTTAGGGTAGGCACAAAAATAAATAAAGAAGTGTTACACAATATCTTGGACGACGCTGATAAAAGACCGCACTTCTTAAAGTTTGCAGAACATACAATTCGTATAGCTGCTAAAAGGAACAGTAATCTTCCTCCAGTAACAACTCAGCAAACTGTGAATTTAAGTAATGTAACAACACAAAACACAGGCATAGAACACAGAAGAACAATTAATAAGCCCGCAAAGAAACTACTGGAATATGCTGAACTAGGTAACCCAGGTCTTAGATTTAAAACAGTAGCCATGTTTATGGACGACTCATCTGAAAGGCTAGGTATTTGCTTCTGCAACGCGATGGCTCCAAATAGAATAATCATCTCACCCGGCCTCGCCTTACTCCTAAAAGGCAGCACCTTCAAAACGAGCATAAAACGTAAGAAGTATGAGGCGCTACAGAAGATAAAAGTAGCAAACAATCACTGCCGAATAGTCCGCACGCGAAACAAAACCATCGCACTATTCGAAAAAGGCGACGACATCACCGAGTTCGCCCAGGCATGCTCAGTGCTAGCTGTGCTTGCGGAGGCAGGTGAGGCTAAAGAAGTACCAGCAAAAATAATAAGCGTAGATGCTATGGTGGTAGAATATGAGAAAGGGAAGGTAGAAGACTACATGGGAGTGTTAAAAGCCTCAGAACAACATGAGGTGGTGGTATACGAAGACAGAGGTGAAAACCTCAGTTTTATGAAACCACTCAGACCCAACGAACCTTCATGCTCGTACCCTACTAACAGCAGGGAATATCCCATAGTAAGCCCAGAAGAAGTATTAAGCGGATCCGAACGCTTGCAACAAAAAATGGACGCCGAAAGGAGAAAAGTTAAGCGGCCACGAATAATCCCAGCCGAAACAATAGACAAAGTAGCAGCAGTCGCTAGCACCTTCGGTCAAGTCATCGCTGCAATCCCCGCAGTAATCCCGAAGAAAAGAGAATATCTGAGGTCAACAGAGAAAATGGTAGCCGCTGTCAAGAGCGTTGCAAAGCACTTCCCCAAAGGTCAAACAAGAAAATCCCTATGCACATGGACGAAAGCAGACATGGGACAAGTCACTCTGCCGAGCCTCAGGGAGGCATCGGAGCCCCAGGACCACTGGATAAATGCATTCCTAGAGTTTAAAGCTATCGTAAAAGCTACCAGAGAGGTTAATATCATAACCTGCAAGACCATCTTGGAAACCTTTCACCAAGGTTGTGAAGATCAGCTTGTGGTGAAGCTCGAGGAATCCGAAGCCGCAGTGTACAACAACGACACAGCTGAAGTAATTAAAGGGAGTGCGTCGGGATTGTACATGGCGGCATACAACGCAACAAGTGGTTTTGTGGCTTTGGACAGAACTGAGACAAAGCGGTTGGGTCAACTTGTCTTTCGAACACCTCCTCACGACCCCATAGTGGTAACAGCAAACTGTACGAGGGTTATGCTTGAGGACAAGATCCTGGACAGGCTTAAGGCTGTGTCCATAACCTTGGAGGAAGGCGGCACTCTTGGGCATTGGCAGTTACCAAAAATAACATGGGTCAATGGCGTACCCGGATGTGGAAAAACATCTTGGGTTATTAATAGTTTTGAGGCGGAAAAAGATATCATAATAACAACAACAACTGTAGCTGCTAGCGACCTGAGGAACAGGCTAGCATCACGTGTAGGAGCCGACGCAGCAAGGAAGGTGCGGACAATGGCCTCAATCTTGGTAAATGGCATAACGGCGTCTGAGAAATACACCCGTCTCTTAATTGACGAAGCGCTTATGAACCATTTTGGGGCCATAGTAATGGCAGTACAAATCACGGGTGCAAGTGAAATTCTTCTTATAGGCGACAACAACCAGCTGCCGTATATCGACCGGCACGATCTGTTTCGACTTCACTATACTCGTCCAAATCTAGTGGCTAATATCAACCACGAATGGCTCTGCACGCACAGAAACCCATTGGATGTAGCGTATGCACTAAATGAGATCTACGAGGGCATTTACTCATCCAATACTAGGCTGCGATCCCTGGAGCTGAAGAGGTACACGGGTTCACAGATTCCAAAGTCCCTTGAAAATACGTTATATCTGGGACACACCCAGGCTGAAAAGGAAAGTCTCATCAGCCAGGGCTACGGAAAAGGGAAGGGTTCGCGAACTCTTACCATACATGAAGCTCAGGGCCTCGTGAGCGAGACGGTGGTAATTGTGCGATCAACCAGAGAGAAACAACGCCTATACAACAGTATTCCCCATGCAGTGGTGGCAATCTCACGTCATACGAGCCATTGTACCTACTTTACAGATTGGTGTGAGGAAGATGCAGTTGCCCGTTTTATTTTACGCGCCGAGTCTGCCACCACAAGCAGAATTAGGGATTATAACATCAAAACGGCAATACATCATCGAGACTTAAAGGTTGCGAACAACATTATGAACGTGGTCCGAGACGAAGTGGCGTAAACGACATTCAAACGATAATATTAAAGTGCTAAAGGACGTTAAAGTGACATGTTCGCAACAATGTTTCGTTTTTATTAATTATTTAAAAATAAGGCTGTTTGTGAATTGTAATAGTATTATATAAATTAGTATATATATATATATATATGTATAGATTAAGATTTTAAATAAATAGTTAAGAAAAAAGAATCAAAAAAAAAACAGGTAAAAAAAAGAAAAAAAAAAAGAAAAAAAAAAGAAAAAAGAAAAAAAAAGAAACAAAAAAGAAAACAAAAAAACAACCTTAAAAAAAGAGGAAAAAAAAAGAAAAAGAAAAACGAACAAAAAAAAAGACTATATTATGTTAAATGTTTCGAATAAAAAAAAAAATTACTTACTAATTAGATGTAAGGCACGATACATTTTCGCAACAATGTTTTGTTTTACTTTAATTATTTTAAAAATAAGGCTGTTTTGTGAATTGAAGTTATAAAATTAGTATATATATGCATAGATTAAGATTTTAAATACATAGTTAAGACAAAAAAAGAGAAAAAAAATAAAAAAAAAAAGAAGAAAAAAGAGAAAAAAAGCAAAAAAAAAAAGCAAAAAAAAAAACAAAAAAAAAAAAAGTGGAAAAAAAAGAAAAAGAAAAACAAACAAAAAAAGACTATTATGTTAAATGTTTCAAATAAAAAAAAAATTACTTACTTGTTAGATGTAAGGCACGATATAATACTTAAATTGTAAAAGAAAACGTGCATTTAAATATACGCGGAGAGATGTAATTGTTTATAAAGTCAGTATGTAATATAATAATAATTCAAAAATGTAACAAAGGGTACGGACCGCGAGTCTGTAGAGTAAACGATTAATACAAAAAAAAAAAAAAAAAAAAAAAACCTAACCTAACCTAACCTAACCTAACCTAACCTAACCTAACCTTTTTTTTTTTTTTTTTTACATGGGGAAATGCCTATGCATACCCGCCTCGCGGGGGCAAGGACGGGTTATGTCGGACTCGCACCGACTAAAACCCCATGGTGTTCCACCCTCGTCGCATATTGGCAGGGCCACGGGAACGCTTTCGCACACTTCCGCGGCCCCACCTGCGCTGGCCGCCCCAAGGCGGCCCCTCTTCGGGAGAGGAACACTCCTCCCCCATCTCCTTCTCAGGTAAGGCGCACCAGAACACATGGTGCGCCCTCCTCCTCGGCCTCCAATTTCTAATGCGCAACGGACGCCCCCATGTCTGATGCGCGAAGGCCATGGGGCCAGGAAAAACTAGCACTCAGAAGCACCAGCCTTCCTGGCCCCAGCGGCGGATCTGGTCTCGGGCTCCGCCGCCAACCAAGTTTCGGCCGCGGAGGGTAGGGAGAGCGGCGCCTCGCAATACCGACACTCCTCTCCCCCCGCGGCCCCACCACCACCGCATCAACGGTGCGGCCCCGTTTGAGTCGCGGAGGATAGGGCGAGTGGCGCATCGCCATACCAACACTCCTCTTCCTCCGCGACTCCACCTCGGCTGCAGCGGTAGAGGGTGCGGACTCCCCTCTCACCGCAGCCCACCAACACACATCCGAAGTGGGCTCCCCAAGCCCACTCGGAGTGGCCACCTCGGGCCGGCCCTACACCTCGGGCCAGCCAAGGGGTTCCTCTTTGTTCACCGTGGTTGACCAAGCCACGGCTACTAAGCCCCCCCGCCACGACAAGGCGGGAACCCGTTCGGGGGGGAACCTAACCTAACCTAACCTAACCTAACCTAACCTTTTTTTTTTTTTTTTTTTTTTTTTTTTACGGGGGGAAATCCTCATGGACTACCTCCGCCTGGGGAAAGGCGGAGGGGCGTGCCGGACTCTTACCGGCTAAAACCACCCCGGTGTCTCCTCACACGTGCGCGTGGGGCCGCGGGAATCCAAATTCTTCCGCAGCCCCACACTAGTGCTGGCCCGGTCCGTCCAGGCCTCGTCTCCTGCACGGGGTAGTGAGGTGTTAAACTACCCCGTGTATCGCCTCAGGGGCGCGCGCCGACACCCGCGCGCGCCTCCGCCTCGGGTCCATCGAGTAGGGGTGGCGGGGGCTTCCCCAAGTCCCTCGCCCCTGGACCCATTTATGGGGGGCGGAAAAAGGCGTTGTCCGCCCTTCTCCTGCGCCCGGTGCGCCTTCTGCGGCCGGGGAAGGGAGTCGAGATCTCCCTTTCCCGTTCCGCAGTTTCCTTCTGCGACATCACGTCCTCGCAGAAGGACACCACTGCATCCCACGACTCTGCGCTACCGACCATCTTCTGCACTAAGGCCGGCAGCGACAGATCGCCTCCTACTTTATTTGTGAGGACACGGCGCTGCTCCTCCCAAGCTACACACTCGGCGAGCGTGTGTTGCGCCGTGTCCTCCCCGCAATGGACGCAGTGGTGGCACCGAGCGTCCGGCTCCCTGTCTATGCGGCGCAGGTACTTGCCGAAGCAGCCATGCCCCGACAGCACCTGCGTCACCCTAAACGACAGGGAGCCGTGCCTTCTCCCGAGCCAGTCGTCGAGTACTGGCCGGATCGCCTCGACGGTAGCGAGGCCTGCGGTAGGGCGCAGAAGCCTTTGCCGCCATTCCGCCACCAAGACCTGACGGAGCTCCTCTCGGCGCAGCGCGATCTGCCGCTGCACCGGCCTCGAGCCCCGTGCCCGCTCTTCCTCGCGCCATCGATATAATGACGCGAGTACTTTCGCCTCTAGGTCCCAGGGCGGGGATCCGGCCAGGACGCAAGCCGCCTCGTAGGAAATCGTGCGATACCCGCGGGCGACTCTGACGGCCATCGCCCTCTGCGGTTTACGCAGAATGGCGAGAGTGCTGGCCGTCATGTCCATCGCCCACACAGGGGCCCCATACAGGGCCATGGACCGCACGATTCCCACGTACAACCGCCTACAGGCGGCGCTCGGGCCCCCCAAGTTGGGAAGCAACGTTGATAGCGCGCCCGCTGCACCCATCAGCTTGGGCGCCAGCCGCCGGAAGTGGGGTCCGAATTCCCATCGGCTGTCGAGCACCAATCCCAGATACTTCATGGTGGACTCGACAGCTATCCGGGCCCCGCTGACCACGATGTGTGAACCCGGCGGCGGCGCGCGTCGAGGGCCATGGAACACCATGGCCTCCGACTTATTTAGGGCCACCTCCAGGCCCAGGCGCCGGATGCGGTTCACCACTTGTGACACCGCAGCCGTGGCAACCAACGCTGCTTCCCTGTGTGAACTCCCCCGGGCAGTGACGAGCGTGTCGTCCGCATAACACGTCAAGTCGGCGCCCGACGGGAGTTCACCTCTCAGCACCCAGTCGTAGCCGATGTTCCACAGGAGCGGTCCCAAGACCGAGCCCTGCGGAACACCGCACGACATGACGCGCCGACCAGCGCCGTCACGTCCCCAATAGGTAACGCATCTCTCCTCAAGGTAAGCCCCTATTGTGCGGCGGAGGTAGGGAGGCACGCGATGGTAATTCAGCGCCTCCCGAATACAACTCCAGGGTAGGGTGTTGAAGGCGTTGGAGATGTCTAAGGACACCGCCAGCACCACCCCACCCCGGGATACTGTCTCCTCCGCCAGGGCCCTCACGCGCGTAATAGCGTCTATGGTGGAGCGCCCGCGACGAAAACCAAACTGGTTCTCGTCCAGGTCCGGCCCCTCTCTGCACAAGTGGCTGACGAGGCGATCTGCGATGATGCGCTCAAGAAGTTTGCCCGCCTCGTCGAGCAGCACTATGGGCCGGTACGCGGACGGTGAGTCCGCGGGGCGCCCCTCCTTCCTGAGCAGGACCAGCCTCCCCTCCTTCCATACACTGGGAAACTGACCCTGCTCGAGACATGCCGTGAAGAGCCCTCTCAGCTGGGGCTCTAGCTCCTTCAGAGCCAGGACGAGAGCTCGACCAGGAACTCCGTCGGGTCCGGGCGCTGTGTTCTTAGCCCGGAGTCGCGACACGGCCGCTCTCGTCTCTGTTTGCGTCACCTCGGGGACATCGGTGCTCTCCTCTTCTGGAGAGTCTGTGGCTGAGGGCGAAGCCATCGCCGGGGGAACGTGTCCCACTCGCTCAGGGAAGAGAGCCGATACCACCGCCTCTAGCAACTGGGGTTGCATCGTTTGTGTTAGTGGAGGCGCCCAGGGACGCAACTTGCCCCGTACCCAACGGTAGGGGCGCCCCCACGGATCCCGATCTAGGGATCCCAGCAGCTCTTCCCTGGCACGCGACTTTGAGTCGCCGATGGCCAGCCACAGAGTCTCCTTAGACGCGCGGTACACCTCATACAGCGCGTCCTCCTCGGCGGGATCCCGTCGACGCCGCCTCCGGTATCGGGTGTACCGGCGACGAGCCGCAACGCACGCTATGCGCAATTGCGCGATCTCGGCGGTCCACCAGTACACCTGGCGCCTTGCGGACCGTTGGTGGACACGGGGCATGGACGCGTCGCAGATCTGCGTCATCGCCCCGCGAAACCATAGCGCCACCGCTTCGACGTCGACGGGGCCGTCCGTCGTCGACTCCCGAATCCAGGACTGGACTAGGGCAGCTTCTTCGAGTAGTTCCCTGTCGATGCGCTTAAGCGCCCAACGCGGGCCGTCGTTAATCGGGGTTGTTGGATGGCGGCCGCTCGCAGTCTGGGCAGAGACGTCGAACCGGATATACCGATGGTCCGACAGCGTCTCCACCTCTGCGGCGACACGCCAGTCGCGGACTCGGCTGGCGACAGAGGGGCTAGCAAACGAGACGTCCACTATCGACCCACCCCGCTGCCGCACGCACGTGTATTCCGAACCCCGATTCAGGACGACCAGACCAGTCGTCACCGTCCACTCTTCTAACACCTCGCCCCGAGGGTCAGTGACCGGAGATCCCCACGCCGATGACTTGGCGTTGAGATCCCCGAGCACCAGAACGGGACGAGGGTGATAGCGGCCTACGACGGCGCCCAACTCGACAAGGAAACCCTCAAAGTCGGCGAGACTCTTGTTGGGGGAGAAATACGCCCCTACAATAACGATGCCGCCCGAGACCGCAGCAACCCAGCCGCGGCCCCGAGACGGGTCGCTCAGAGTCTCGCCAATAATGGCCACCAAACCGTCAGCGCATCCCAACCAGTTGTCACGGGCGGGAATGAAGTACGGTTCGGCGACCACAGCCACGTGAATCGACCACTCTGCCATGCTCTGGAGTAGGAGATCCTGAGCTCTGGCACAGTGGTTGATGTTGCCCTGGAGGAAATGGAGAGAATGGAATCGTGCCATTATTGACATTCCATTCCCTCGGCAACGGTCCTGGGCCGGGAGTCGGCCAACCTAACCTAACCTAACCTAACCTAACCTAACCTTTTTTTTTTTTTTTTTTTACGGGGGGAAATCCTCATGGACTACCTCCGCCTGGGGAAAGGCGGAGGGGCGTGCCGGACTCTTACCGGCTAAAACCACCCCGGTGTCTCCTCACACGTGCGCGTGGGGCCGCGGGAATCCAAATTCTTCCGCAGCCCCACACTAGTGCTGGCCCGGTCCGTCCGGGCCTCGTCTCCTGCACGGGGTAGTGAGGTGTTAAACTACCCCGTGTATCGCCTCAGGGGCGCGCGCCGACACCCGCGCGCGCCTCCGCCTCGGGTCCATCGAGTAGGGGTGGCGGGGGCTTCCCCAAAACCCTCGCCCCTGGACCCATTTATGGGGGCCGGAAAAGGGCGTTGTCCGCCCTTCTCCTGCGCCCGGTGCGCCTTCTGCGGCCAGGGAAGGGAGTCGAGATCTCCCTTTCCCGTTCCGCAGTTTCCTTCTGCGACATCACGTCCTCGCAGAAGGACACCACCGCATCCCACGACTCTGCGCTACCGACCATCTTCCGCACTAAGGCCGGCAGCGACAGATCGCCTCCTACTTTATTTGTGAGGACACGGCGCTGCTCCTCCCAAGCTACACACTCGGCGAGCGTGTGTTGCGCCGTGTCCTCCCCGCAATGGACGCAGTGGTGGCACCGAGCGTCCGGCTCCCTGTCTATGCGGCGCAGGTACTTGCCGAAGCAGCCATGCCCCGACAGCACCTGCGTCACCCTAAACGACAGGGAGCCGTGCCTTCTCCCGAGCCAGTCGTCGAGTACTGGCCGGATCGCCTCGACGGTAGCGAGGCCGGCGGTAGGGCGCAGAATCCTTTGCCGCCATTCCGCCACCAAGACCTGACGGAGCTCCTCTCGGCGCAGCGCGATCTGCCGCTGCACCGGCCTCGAGCCCCGTGCCCGCTCTTCCTCGCGCCATCGATATAATGACGCGAGTACTTTCGCCTCTAGGTCCCAGGGCGGGGATCCGGCCAGGACGCAAGCCGCCTCGTAGGAAATCGTGCGATACCCGCGGACGACTCTGACGGCCATCGCCCTCTGCGGTTTACGCAGAATGGCGAGAGTGCTGGCCGTCATGTCCATCGCCCACACAGGGGCCCCATACAGGGCCATGGACCGCACGATTCCCACGTACAACCGCCTACAGGCGGCGCTCGGGCCCCCCAAGTTGGGAAGCAACGTTGATAGCGCGCCCGCTGCACCCATCAGCTTGGGCGCCAGCCGCTGGAAGTGGGGTCCGAATTCCCATCGGCTGTCGAGCACCAATCCCAGATACTTCATGGTGGACTCGACAGCTATCCGGGCCCCGCTGACCACGATGTGTGAACCCGGCGGCGGCGCGCGTCGCGGGCCATGGAACACCATGGCCTCCGACTTACTTAGGGCCACCTCCAGGCCCAGGCACCGGATGCGGTTCACCACTTGTGACACCGCAGCCGTGGCAACCAACGCTGCTTCCCTGTACGAACTCCCCCGGGCAGTGACGAGCGTGTCGTCCGCATAACACGTCAAGTCGGCGCCCGACGGGAGTTCACCTCTCAGCACCCAGTCGTAGCCGATGTTCCACAGGAGCGGTCCCAAGACCGATCCCTGCGGAACACCGCACGACATGACGCGCCGACCAGCGCCGTCACGTCCCCAATAGGTAACGCATCTCTCCTCAAGGTAAGCCCCTATTGTGCGGCGGAGGTAGGGAGGCACGCGATGGTAATTCAGCGCCTCCCGAATGCAACTCCAGGGTAGGGTGTTGAAAGCGTTGGAGATGTCTAAGGACACCGCCAGCACCACCCCACCCCGGGATACTGTCTCCTCCGCCAGGGCCCTCACGCGCGTAATAGCGTCTATGGTGGAGCGCCCGCGACGAAAACCAAACTGGTTGTCATCCAGGTCCGGCCCCTCTCTGCACAAGTGGCTGACGAGGCGATCTGCGATGATACGCTCAAAAAGTTTGCCCGCCTCGTCGAGCAGCACTATGGGCCGGTACGCGGACGGCGAGTCCGCGGGGCGCCCCTCCTTCCTGAGCAGGACCAGCCTCCCCTCCTTCCACACACTGGGAAACTGACCCTGCTCGAGACATGCCGTGAAGAGCCCTCTCAGCTGGGGCTCTAGCTCCTTCAGAGCCAAGACGAGAGCTCGACCAGGAACTCCGTCGGGTCCGGGCGCTGTGTTCTTAGCCCGGAGTCGCGACACGGCCACTCTCGTCTCTGCTTGCGTCACCTCGGGGACATCGGTGCTCTCCTCTTCTGGAGAGTCTGTGGCTGAGGGCGAAGCCATCGCCGGGGGAACGTGTCCCACTCGCTCAGGGAAGAGAGTCGATAACACCGACTCTAGCAACTGGGGTTGCATCCTTTGTGTTAGTGGAGGCGCCCAGGGACGCAACTTGCCCCGAATCCAACGGTAGGGGCGCCCCCACGGATCCCGATCTAGGGACCCCAGCAGCTCCTCCCTGGCACGCGACTTTGAGTCGCCGATGGCCAGCCACAGAGTCTCCTTAGACGCGCGGTACACCTCATACAGCGCGTCCTCCTCAGCGGAATCCCGTCGACGCCGCCTCCGGTATCGGGTGTACCGGCGACGAGCCGCAACGCACGCTATGCGCAATTGCGCGATCTCGGCGGTCCACCAGTACACCTGGCGCTTTGCGGACCGTTGGCGGACACGGGGCATTGACGCGTCGCAGATCTGCGTCATCGCCCCGCGAAACCATAACGCCACCGCTTCGACGTCGACGGGGCCGTCCGTCGTCGACTCCCAGATCCAGGACTGAACTAGGGCAGCTTCCTCGAGTAGTTCCCTGTCGATGCGCTTAAGCGCCCAACGCGGGCCGTCGTTAATCGGGGTTGTTGGATGGCGGCCGCTCGCAGTCTGGGCAGAGACGTCGAACCGGATATATCGATGGTCCGACAGTGTCTCCACCTCTACGGCGACACGCCAGTCGCGGACTCGGCTGGCGACAGAGGGGCTAGCAAACGAGACGTCCACTATCGACCCACCCCGCTGCCGCACGCACGTGTATTCCGAACCCCGATTCAGGACGACCAGACCAGTCGTCACCGTCCACTCTTCTAGCACCTCACCCCGAGGGTCAGTGACCGGAGATCCCCACGCCGATGACTTGGCGTTGAGATCCCCGAGCACCAGAACGGGACGAGGGTGATAACGGCCTACGACGGCGCCCAACTCGACAAGGAAACCCTCAAAGTCGGCGAGACTCTTGTTGGGGGAGAAATACGCCCCTACAATAACGATGCCGCCCGAGACCGCAGCAACCCAGCCGCGGCCCCGAGACGGGTCGATCAGAGTCTCGCCAATAATGGCCACCAAACCGTCAGCGCATCCCAACCAGTTGTCACGGGCTGGAATGAAGTACGGTTCGGCGACCACAGCCACGTGAATCGACCACTCTGCCATGCTCTGGAGTAGGAGATCCTGAGCTCTGGCACAGTGGTTGATGTTGCCCTGGAGAAAATGGAGAGAATGGAATTGTGCCATTATTGACATTCCATCCCCTCGGCAACGGTCCTGGGCCGGGAGTCGGCCGCGGAGCTGCTAGCCTGCGAGGGCAGGGAGGTTAACCCGGCAGGCTTAGTGCTCCTCTCCTTTTCCTTTTTCTTTTTCTTGCTGGTAGGCGCCCCACAAGCCCCTCCGCCTACTCTGTGTTCCGCTGGCCTTCCCGCAGCAGAACAAAGGCTGCAGTTGAGCGCCGCGGAGCACAGGGCAGCCTTGTGGCCAGGCTGGCCGCAGCGATAACAGAGGTCACTACGGTCAACCTCGGCGGTGCACTTCGCCCGGACGTGCCCTTTTTCCAGGCACCGAAAGCACTGCAAAGCCCGGGGCCGTAAGAGCTTGGTCCTTGCCGCCACCCAGCCTACCAACAATCTGCCGCTATCGGCGATCTTCTTCGCCGACGCTACAGGGCACCGAACCCAGACCGCGCCGAGTCCGGTGGCGTCGGTGCGTATATCGCCAGCCCGCACCTTGTCCGGCGGACACTCTCCGCTTCTGGCAACGGCCGCCACCACCTCCTCTGAGGTCACGGAGTCGTCCAGGCCAGCAATCCGCACCTCTGCGGTTTTCATTGGCCTGGAGACCCGGACGTCTTCTGGGTTGAGGACCTCCCTCATCTTGGCGGCCAGTGCGTCCGCCTTTTCGGCACTGCCGCTCACAGTGCCAGCCACCTCGAACAGTCGTGCACCCGTGGCAGCCTGCCTGAGGGTGACGGACTGGAAAGGAAGGAAGATCTCGAAGGGAAAGTAAGAGAAATAACAGAAGCAATCTATGATGCATGTGAACACAGCATGCCTAAAATTAAAAGTAAAAAACGGGTGGGATTGCCTTGGTGGACCGATGAGTTAACCCAAAGAAAAAAGGATGTCTCCAGGTTAAAGCGCAGAATTTCTTACGCGGCGCCAGTTCGGCGCGAGTGGGTCGTCGAGCAGTATGTTAGAGCAAAAGAGGAATACCAGCAGCAAGTTAAGAATGCACAAACCTCCAGCTGGAAGGATTTCTGTAGCAGACAGGAGCAGGAGTCGATGTGGGATGGGGTCTACAGAGTTATAAGCCGTACTACGCAAAGAAAGGAGGATATCCCCCTTGTACGAGATGGAAAGACCCTTGGAAACACGGAATCAGCAAGAGCACTGGCAGAGACCTTTTATCCAGATGATAACACCCAAGACGACGACGCGGAACACAGGCTGAAGAGAAAAATAGCTGAAGTAGTAAATGAAGGGTCACTTGATGACTCAAGTGATCCGCCCTTTACGATTGAAGAGCTAATGTGGGCCGCGTCGAGTTTTAACCCCAAAAAGGCTCCTGGGAACGATGGTCTCACGGCTGACATCTGCATGGCGGCTATCACTCTGGATCCTCCACTGTTCCTGGCATTGGCCAATAAATGTCTTCATCTGTCATATTTCCCCAGTAAATGGAAGGAGGCGGCAGTGGTGGTTTTGCGGAAGTCCGAAAAGGAGGACTACACGCATCCCAAATCCTACAGGCCGATTGGGCTTTTGCCTGTTTTAGGGAAAGTAGTAGAAAAAATGATGGTACGAAGGATCAAGTGGCACATCGTACCCAAAATAAGCAAAAGCCAATATGGCTTTATGCCACAGCGTAGTACGGAGGACTCCCTCTATGACATGATACAGTATATAAAAGCCAGGACCAATGATAAAAAATTGGTCTTGCTTGTGTCACTTGACATAGAGGGAGCCTTCGACAACGCCTGGTGGCCGGCTATACGATGTAGCCTTGCAGAGATAGGATGCCCAAAAAACATTAGGCGACTGACAGACAACTATTTTGAGGATAGGTCAGTTTGCATAAAGTACTTAGGGACAGAATGGGTTAAAAAGACTACGAAGGGATGCGTGCAGGGCTCAATAGGCGGTCCAATATTTTGGAACCTTTTGCTTAATCCACTTCTGCAAGAGCTAAACAATGGAGGGGACCGCTGCCATGCATTTGCGGATGATGTAGTCCTGATTTTCTCTGGAGATAATGCACTGGAAGTGCAGGAACAAGCCAATGCGGCCCTCGAACGTGTTCGGAAGTGGGGAGTCAAAAATAAGCTGAAATTTGCTCCGCATAAAACTAAAGCAATGATTATTACAAATAAGATTTAGTACGACTCACCACTTCTGAAAATGGGCGGGGAAAGCATTGGTTTGTCCAAAGAAATTAAAATACTCGGCCTCACAGTTGACGACAAGCTGACCTTTAACACGCACGTGAGGAAACAATGCTGTAAGGTACAGAACTTGTATCGTCAGCTGTGCAGAGCCGCAAAGATTCATTGGGGCTTAAACTCCGAGATTATCAGGACTATATACATAGCGGTAGTAGAGCCGATTATATTATATGCGGCGAGCGCATGGGCGGCGGCAACAAATAAAATAATGATTAAAAAACAGCTCGATACGGTGCAACGTGCGTTCGTGCAAAAAATTATTAAGTCTTACAGAACCGTCTCTCTACACTCGGCTCTGCTACTTGCCGGGCTGCTTCCCTTGGATCTGAGAGTCCGGGAAGCAGCCTTGCTTTATGAAATAAGGAAAGGCCATTCCCGGGTAGTGGTAGAGGACCGAGATGTGGAGAGACAAGTCGAATATTGTAGGATGCCACACCCTGCAGAAGAATATGGCCTGCAATACAAATGCCTGGAGGACGGGGCACAAATGGACCAACATGATAATAAAGGCCTCAAAATATTTACTGACGGCAGTAAGATCGAGGGGAAAGTCGGCGCTGCATTATCCATTTGGAATGATGCAGCGGAGACGAGTAACCGGAAACTAAAGTTGGAAAATTTCTGCACCGTCTTCCAGGCAGAGTTGCTCGCCATTCGAGAAGCAACTAGGTACGCACTAACACACCCAGCACAAAATTGTCAAATATATAGCGACTCAATGTCTGCTCTCCAGACAGTTATAAAAAGCGTTTCCCTCCATCCCCTAGCGGCAGAAACTAGAACGAACATCAGTCTAATAAAAAAGCAAGGGAAATCTCTCGAACTATTCTGGATTAAAGCTCACGCAGGATTGGAGGGAAACGAGAGAGCAGACAAATTAGCCAAAGAAGCCGCACTAAAAATAAAAAGAAGGCCAGATTATGAGAGGTGTCCGGTTTCATTCGTCAAGCGACAGATTCGACTGGGATCGCTTGACGAATGGAACCGAAGATACACGGAAGGAGAAACAGCCTCCATCACAAAAACTTTCTTCCCCGATGCCATAGAAGCATATCTTATTATAAGAAAAATAGAAATAGACCCACAAATTGTACAAGTGATGACAGGACAAGGCGGGTTCTCCGAATATTTATTCCGTTTTAAATGCAAGGAGAGCCCGGCATGCGCCTGTGATCCAGCAAGACAAGAAACGGTTATACACCTAATAACAGAGTGCCCTATTTATGGCAGAGAAAGAGCTGATTTAGAGTTAGAAATAGAAATTAAGATAAACAAAGAAAATGTATACAATATAATGAGAAATAAACATGTTAGAAATAGATTTTTGAAATATTGTAAGAATATAGTCCATAAGGTAATAAATAAGAATAAAAACTAGTAGTAATAAGGGAAATTGTAACATAATATATATAATATATAATGTATACAGCCCATACAAATATGTAAGAATAAGAAATAGCACAATAAGAATTGTACCTAGAATAAACTAGATAAGAAAGCATATAAGAACAAACAAAAGAAATAAAGAAAACAGAAATAAAAATAAAAAAGAATAAAAAACACAAAAATAATAAAAAAGAAAAAGAGAAAGAAAGATTAAACTATAATAAAAGAATAAAAAAGTCCCTGAGTTCCATGTCAGGGGAACAATTAAAAAAAAAAAAAAAAAAAAAAAAAAAAAAAAAAAAAAAAAAACCTAACCTAACCTAACCTAACCTTTTTTTTTTTTTTTTTTTTTTTTTACATGGGGAAATGCCTACGCCTCGCGGGGGCAAGGACGGGTTATGTCGGACTCGCACCGACTAAAACCCCATGGTGTTCCACCCTCGTCGCATATTGGCAGGGCCACGGGAACGCTTTCGCACACTTCCGCGGCCCCACCTGCGCTGGCCGCCCCATGGCGGCCCCTCCCCGGGAGAGGACCACTCCTCCCCCATTTCCCTCTCAGGTAAGGCGCACCAGAACACATGGCGCGCCCTCCTCCTCGGCCTCCAATTTCATATGTGCCACGGACGCCCCCGCGTCCGATGCGCGAAGGCCATGGGGCCAGGAAAAACTAGCACTCAGAAGCACCAGCCTTCCTGACCCCAGCGGCGGATCTGGTCTGTGGCTCCGCCGCCAACCAAGATTCGGCTGCGGAGGGTAGGGAGAACGGCGCCTCGCAATACCGACACTCCTCTCCCCCCGCAGCCCCACCACCACCGCATCGTTTAACGGTGCGGCCCCGTCTGAGTCGCGGAGGATAGGGCGAGTGGCGCATCGCCATACCAGCACGCCTCCTCCTCCGCGACTCCACCTCGGCTGCAGCGGTAGAGGGTTGCGGACTCCCCTCTCACCGCAGCCCCCCGACACACATCCGAAGTGGGCTTCCCAAGCCCACTCGGAGTGGCCACCTCGGGCCGGCCCTACACCTCGGGCCAGCCAAGGGGTTCCTCTTCGTTCACCGTGGTTGACCAAGCCACGGCTACTAAGCCCCCCCGCCACGACAAGGCGGGAACCCGTTCGGGGGGGAACCTAACCTAACCTAACCTTTTTTTTTTTTTTTTTACGGGGGGAAATCCTCATGGACTACCTCCGCCTGGGGAAAGGCGGAGGGGCGTGCCGGACTCTTACCGGCTAAAACCACCCCGGTGTCAACTCACACGTGCGCGTGGGGCCGCGGGAATCCAAATTCTTCCGCAGCCCCACACTAGTGCTGGCCCGGTCCGTCCAGGCCTCGTCTCCTGCACGGGGTAGTGAGGTGTTAAACTACCCCGTGTATCGCCTCAGGGGCGCGCACCGACACCCGCGCGCGCCTCCGCCTCGGGTCCATCGAGTAGGGGTGGCGGGGGCTTCCCCAAGTCCCTCGCCCCTGGACCCATTTATGGGGGCCGGAAAAGGGCGTTGTCCGCCCTTCTCCTGCGCCCGGTGCGCCTTCTGCGGCCAGGAAAGGGAGTCGAGATCTCCCTTTCCCGTTCCGCAGTTTCCTTCTGCGACATCACGTCCTCGCAGAAGGACACCACTGCATCCCACGACTCTGCGCTACCGACCATCTTCTGCACTAAGGCCGGCAGCGACAGATCGCCTCCTACTTTATTTGTGAGGACACGGCGCTGCTCCTCCCAAGCTACACACTCGGCGAGCGTGTGTTGCGCCGTGTCCTCCCCGCAATGGACGCAGTGGTGACACCGAGCGTCCGGCTCCCTGTCTATGCGGCGCAGGTACTTGCCGAAGCAGCCATGCCCCGACAGCACCTGCGTCACCCTAAACGACAGGGAGCCGTGCCTTCTCCCGAGCCAGTCGTCGAGTACTGGCCGGATCGCCTCGACGGTAGCGAGGCCGGCGGTAGGGCGCAGAAGCCTTTGCCGCCATTCCGCCACCAAGACCTGACGGAGCTCCTCTCGGCGCAGCGCGATCTGCCGCTGCACCGGCCTCGAGCCCCGTGCCCGCTCTTCCTCGCGCCATCGATATAATGACGCGAGTACTTTCGCCTCTAGGTCCCAGGGCGGGGATCCGGCCAGGACGCAAGCCGCCTCGTAGGAAATCGTGCGATACCCACGGACGACTCTGACGGCCATCGCCCTCTGCGATTTACGCAGAATGGCAAGAGTGCTGGCCGTCATGTCCATCGCCCACACAGGGGCCCCATACAGGGCCATGGACCGCACGATTCCCACGTACAACCGCCTACAGGCGGCGCTCGGGCCCCCCAAGTTGGGAAGCAACGTTAATAGCGCGCCCGCTGCACCCATCAGCTTGGGCGCCAGCCGCCGGAAGTGGGGTCCGAATTCCCATCGGCTGTCGAGCACCAATCCCAGATACTTCATGGTGAACTCGACAGCTATCCGGGCCCCGCAGACCACGATGTGTGAACCCGGCGGCGGCGCGCGTCGAGGGCCATGGAACACCATGGCCTCCGACTTATTTAGGGCCACCTCCAGGCCCAGGCGCCGGATGCAGTTCACCACTTGTGACACCGCAGCCGTGGCAACCAACGCTGCTTCCCTGTGTGAACTCCCCCGGGCAGTGACGAGCGTGTCGTCCGCATAACACGTCAAGTCGGCGCCCGACGGGAGTTCACCTCTCAGCACCCAGTCGTAGCCGATGTTCCACAGGAGCGGTCCCAAGACCGATCCCTGCGGAACACCGCACGACATGACGCGCCGACCAGCGCCGTCACGTCCCCAATAGGTAACGCATCTCTCCTCAAGGTAAGCCCCTATTGTGCGGCGGAGGTAGGGAGGCACGCGATGGTAATTCAGCGCCTCCCGAATACAACTCCAGGGTAGGGTGTTGAAGGCGTTGGAGATGTCTAAGGACACCGCCAGCACCACCCCACCCCGGGATACTGTCTCCTCCGCCAGGGCCCTCACGCGCGTAATAGCGTCTATGGTGGAGCGCCCGCGACGAAAACCAAACTGGTTCTCGTCCAGGTCCGGCCCCTCTCTGCACAAGTGGCTGACGAGGCGATCTGCGACGATGCGCTCAAGAAGTTTGCCCGCCTCGTCGAGCAGCACTATGGGCCGGTACGCGGACGGTGAGTCCGCGGGGCGCCCCTCCTTCCTGAGCAGGACCAGCCTCCCCTCCTTCCACACACTGGGAAACTGACCCTGCTCGAGACATGCCGTGAAGAGCCCTCTCAGCTGGGGCTCTAGCTCTTTCAGAGCCAGGACGAGAGCTCGACCAGGAACTCCGTCGGGTCCGGGCGCTGTGTTCTTAGCCCGGAGTCGCGACACGGCCGCTCTCGTCTCTGTTTGCGTCACCTCGGGGACGTCGGTGCTCTCCTCTTCTGGAGAGTCTGTGGCTGAGGGCGAAGCCATCGCCGGGGGAACGTGTCCCACTCGCTCAGGGAAGAGAGCCGATACCACCGCCTCTAGCAACTGGGGTTGCATCGTTTGTGTTAGTGGAGGCGCCCAGGGACGCAACTTGCCCCGTACCCAACGGTAGGGGCGCCCC